CCACTGGTTTTACAAAGTTGTAAATGTATCGGCATTTACGCAAATAATGTCTATAGAAATTTTCATAACCCTCAATCACGTGATCAAAGTTTTCGCCGACTAGAGAAGTTGATGCATCATGTACGTGATGGTCAGATTTATTTGAAATGCAAAGATTTAGCAAAGATTATAACAAAGCCGTTAGATTGACTGTTTTCAATCATCTTCCCCAGAACCCTACCGTCCGGTGGGTATTCACAAGTACCACAATGATCAATCAGTCCCATTTGTACCAAAATAAAAAATCAATCGCGTTAGTACCAAAAATATTCAATTGGCGTAAGACTATTAAGCCGGCTACTTTAAGCTCTTTGGTTAAAGTTGCTGGTGGGCGCGCTACGCGCGCGTGGCCGCTTCGCGGCGATAACCGGCTCTAATTTTCGTGTAGAGTCCTACCCTATGTTGGCAAGTTCGCAACACGAATTTTCATTTTGGTACAAATGAACGTTGGTACAAATGGGACTTCACCCACCGTCCTAGTAACAAAAAGTCAAATAATTAATTGACCAAAACAAATTGATATGATGTATTTTTAGAAAAGAGGACACTTTATGCGCAATCAATTGAAGATCTAAAATGAATTGTCTTCGAATTTTTTTTATAAATACATTTTTAAATTTGTCAAATAAATTTTATTTACTCTTAAGACCTCCTGGTTTTATTCAGTTAAGAGGAAAAAATTGTTTGTTTTTTGACGAGGTGATTGCCGGAGCTCTTCTGGAGTCGTTGGTGATTGGTCTGGCCATAGCCCTGCTGTGGGTCTACTTCATGATCCCAGACATCCAGGTGTTCCTCATTCTGGCCATAATCACTGGACTGTGTGTGGCCAACACTGTCGCATTCATGGTCGCATTCGGACTGCAGCTCAATTTCGTCACATACATCGAAATTCTTCTGTCAATAGGTGCGTAGAACTTGGTATTCATTTTTCTTTTTCCGCGACACTTGAGCAAATATTTCAGCCTATGGTCTGAGAGTTTATTTTTCTTATCTTAAATATATTGCCCTATTCTTAAGTTGAGTTAACAAAAATCTTCTCCCACCTCTTTGAATTGAATTTTCTTGCTAATGTGTGCAATTGACTCAATTTTGTTGAACAAAAGTGCTAGTTTAAAAGCAATTAATCATCCTCCCTGAACCACTTGGTGGATAATTGGTGACGTTAACTGGAACCGCGCTACTCAAAATTTCACCTTTTATTTTTGACTCTTTCCTAACTTTTTATTGACCCTTTTTTCTTTATCGTTTTCGCGTCTAAGCGGTATACCTTTCCGAGTTCAAAAACAGGTGCACAGATAGCCTGATTGGTTAACAGGAAATTAGGAGCTTGCAGTAACTTGGTTATGTGAAAAAAAATCACAAAAAATATTCCTAGTCTTTTTTCTTTCATCTCGAAAAAATTGTATTGTTGGCAGACTGACTGATGAAGTCTTTTGTCTACTATTGCTTTTTTCTTTTTTCTATCTTTTTTTCTCAATCAATATCAAGATATAATTTGGAAGCTAGTCACAATTTATACTTGGTCACCTCTCATTCTTACTCCACAGAATCATCACTTTGGATGCAGCCATGCTCAAACTACGCTTCAACTATGGGTTATAATCAGTACAAATCTTGATGGTCGAAAACAAATCTTCCGCCTGCAGCTGATTACGTTTTTTTGCCTATAATTGTTCTTTATTTTCCAAAAAGGCCGGTTATTATCTAGCAATAACTTGCCTAAATATCATTGATCCTATGTTTTCCTCATTTTAAATCGAAGGTTAAATACAAACTCTAGTTTGAAGCTAATTTAAACAAGACTGGGCAAAGCCCCGAAAGTTCGACTGTCCCTTAATCCACATCGAATAGTTTTTTGGAAAAGAAACATTAAAAAAACCATTAAATTTGCACAATATCAAAGATCAAGTGTGAAATTCTGAGTCGTACGAATTAATACGACCAATTAGCTACCTTCAATTCAATTTGAAACAATTCCGCTGTGCGGGATGATTCGCCATGCACAAATAATTCGCGTTACGCTTTCATGATTATGGACAAAATCTTCAAAGTGCGCATAAATTAGTCCAGATCATGGCCAAATGGGCAATGTTTCAAATTCCTGAAGCTTTGCAAAAATTATCGGAAATTTTTTTTTGAATTTGATTTTTGGGAGTCAATATCTTCAATGGGCATATAATTTTTTTGTTAGGAACTAAAAATTCGATCGCCGAAAACTGACTGAATAAAAAACACCTATTATTTCGATCCCCGAAAAATGAATGAATAAAAAAGAATACCATGCATAAATATTCCGTTTTCTTCGAAAGTCGGATTAAAAATTAACCTTCGTCAGTCTAATTTAGAACTATACGGTTTTGTTCCGACTTTTAAAGAAAGTGACGAAGTATGTGTGCTCGGGGTTGTTTTATTTCTCCAGACAATTTTCGACTTTTTAATTAGCAGCTGTTGACCGGTTTTTTGGATATCATTCAAAAGGAATTGTTGACCTAGGCTCACATTTAAAAATTTATTTTAACTATCATCATCATTTTTTTAAAAAGTTATGGGGATTTAAAGATTGCCAATGTGGCCAATTGGTGACAATTAACTTGCGATATATTTCGTGCGCGTAAAAAACTTTTTACACTGGATTTATTTCATCTCCTGGACTCCTCCATCTACTGGCATGCTCAGTTTTTTGAAAATTCAATTAAAAGTGTTATAATTTAAGTAGTAATTAGGCAAAGCCAGTTTAGGTTTGTAAAATTTTTTTTCAAAAATGTCTCATTTTTTAACTCGAATTCGTGACTTTCGTCGTAATTTCTGTTGGTTCAACATCCGTTTTTTTTAAATGTCATTTTTATCCTCTAAGATTGGCGTACCTTCTAGAGCCTGTGTTTTTGTTTCGATTTAAAAAGTTTTTTTTGTTTTACTACAACTGAAAGTTCAGTAAAATGTAAATTTACCTAGTCTGCTCTAGGGTTATTTTTTTTTGGTTTCTTTTTGCAATAATTAAACAGTTTCAGCTTATGTTGTATCGGCTCAGTCAATTTGTTTTACATAATTTTTTGTGCAAATATATTCGCATGCTATTATGTGTCTTAGACTGGATGTGTCATTGAATTTCTCAAATTTTTCAAAAAAAATTTTATGACAACAATTTTGTTTTCGGCTCAGTTAGGTTTCGACCCAAAAATTGTTGTCAATCGGTGATTAATTGTTTTTTTGAGTTTTAAGCCTGTTTTAAGCCCCGCTTTGCATCGGTTTTTTAAATTACTCCAATGAAATTAAACCGCAATAGGAACTTTCAAGCTTTCACCCTGATACGAACAGTCTTCTTTCCAAAATACTTTTTTTTTTTGAAAAACTTAATCGCACTTTCAAAAAGTGTCGCATAATTTTCAATCTCTTTTTTTTATCCGTTTTCAGTTTTTTGGGTTTTGGCGCGATCAAATGTTTTGGCTCAACCCTGATGGCTCAGCCCTGATCAAATGTTTTGGCTCACCCCTGATGCAAATGTTTTGCAGCTGGAGGAAACGGAAAAAGAGCCAATGTTTTTTTTTGTGAAAATCTGAAGCTCTTATGGTGATCTGCGATCAACAAAATTTTCCTCACTTTTTATCGCGCCTAATTTTGGTCTATCCTGTTAAGCGCACAAAATTCAATGCATTTTTCTAGTTTTATCATTTTTGGTATTCTTAAAAGAATAGTCTGGTACCAAACTTGACTAGAAACAAGGGCGGATCTAGGATTTTCTCGAGGTGGGGGCTCAATTTTTAAAAAAAGTAGAAAACTTTGTTGATTTTTTTTTCAAGTCGACCAAAATTATTTTCTGAGCTCTCCCAAATCACTAGAAAGACTCCATTTAGACCAAATTTTGTGCGCCGCCGGGAATTTTTGAAAGAAAACAGGCCAAAAAAGGCGTTTTTAGGCACTTTTTGGAAACATTTTACCAAAAAATCGCGTTTTTTCGATGAGCGCTCCCCCCTTAAAATTGTATATTTTGGCGCTCAAGGCGCCTGTAGAAAATTTTCTATGGTTATTCACCAAAAATTATTGGCAGGGTGTCAAATCCCTGAGGAGGGGGGCGTCTGCCCCCTCCCAGCTAAATCTGCTGGTGACTAGAAGTACAAACTCGGTCTTAGTTATATTTCAAAAACGATATAGATGAACAATATCATTAAACAAAAAAAATCAGAAAAAGGTACAAAAAGTTAATGAACGTAGTTCTGAGTATTTGTCGGGTTACTGTTTTTTCGACCTGGCTTAATTTTTTCCATCTCAAGATTACAATTAAGACAATTTTTGACAGTTGATTTTTTATTCGTTTGATCTTGAAGTTCATTATTGTTTCAAAATAGACCTTTCGAGTTAGTTGAAAATTTTGGCCGCATATATAAATAATTTTAAAAAAATTAACCGACCAATTATCTTCCTCCAAACTGTCGAAAACTGACTGATTATTATGCTTATTTCTTTTAGATTATTGAATACTGAAATCTCATTAGTGAACATAATTTTCGTTTATTCGGTCCTGCTTACACAAGGGTTTGCCCTTTTATCATGAATTTTATCTAAAATGTTCTGGCACCTCCAAACAAGATTTTTAAAAGTTATGCATTTAAGCTAGCAAGATCTAGCGATACTTCTAATGAAGTTCCGATTTTTTTTTTTGGTAAATAGGATTTATGAGTTTGCTAAATTAATGGGAATCAACTGATTTGGTCTACCCCAAACATCTCTTTTTTTGTTTTTTTTTGTTTTACTTTGTTTCAAGTAATCAAAACGTGTAACTTGAATTGTCAAACCAGATGTGTTTCATGATTAAAATAATTTCATTAACCGTAAATTCGAAACTTTTTGTTATTTCTTCTTTATACTTTTTGAAAAGATATTGCAACAATTTTTGTAGCCAGTACTCCCTATCCAATTGACAGTTCATGCAGCTATTCTTGTTGGTTATCAGGATTCTGTGTGGATTTTATGACTCACTCGGCTCATGGCTACTTGAGTGCAGTCGGGAGGAGCAGAGAGGAGACTGCGAAGAGTGCACTGGAGACAATCGGGATGCCCCTCTTCAACGCCGCAGTGTCTTCTGTTCTAGGTGTAATCATTTGCAAAAATACGAATGAATGTCAGAATTAATTCCAATCGAAAATCTAGTCATAAAACATTATACATTAAAACAATACATTCAATTCTGGATTCGTTAATCATTTATTCGTTACTCTATTCTATCTATATCATATCTAATTCAATATCCGAATTTTATAACATCTTTTTCCCTACTCAAACTGAGGGAAATCTCATGGCGCAGCCAGCAGTTCCTGTGAATGAAGACAAGACTGACCTACTCGGAATACCACCCTTTTGGGCGAGAACATCGGTTAACCCACCTTTTAATTGGGAGACTTGGGTGGGACAATTTTTTTTGGCGGTGAGTCTCAAAGACAACATTTCACCGGGGGAGTTACTAGTTGCCCCAGCAGAGTTTGTGGATGAACCTTACCCGAAGCCCGAAGCACCGAGTGCTGATGAAAATGCCGCAGATGCGGCCAATAGGAACCTCCGAATTGCAGCAGCTAATAGAAGAATCGATGAGTACAATCAAGAGAGGGGAAGAAAAGGACCTCGCATTGGACATAACTGGTGTTACTATGAGGCAGAGGCGCGTTTGAAATCGCGATTTTTCTTCGCACTGGGAAATGAGGGAAAAAAACGATTTTTGGATTCTTACCCTCATTTGGACCTCAATACTAGCTCGTTCATAGATTTTCATAAGTGTTGTGAGGATGTCTTCAAGGCAGATCGGGATTACACAGTCGAAAGGATTAAGCTGTACTATGCAATTTTCATGCAGGATAATGACTCATTCTCATCATTTTACGCCCGACTTAGCGCTCAAACTGCACTATGTAATCGGTCGATCGATCAGGAAAGAGCAACATTGAAAGATTTGTTCATTGGCCGCATTCGCGATGTGGAGGTTCAGAGGCAACTAATCAGAGCAAAAGCTAATCTTGATGATACTCTACAACTTGCTTTGGAAAACGAGAAAGGGGCTAAAACATCAGAACAATTTCAGAAATTGCTCCCATATAACAGCGCTACTTTTAATACTACAAACTCTATTCGAGTCAAGCAGGAACCAACTTCGTCAGTACAACAATTCAAGAATCAAGGAAATAGCAGCCGGGGAGGTGGTGTAACTCGTCCTAACCAACTACAAAATCAAAATAAACCATGTTATTTTTGTGGCAACCCGTTTTCTTTGGAACATCGCCGGTCATGCCCGGCTAGAGAAGCTACTTGTAATGCCTGCAAAAAGAAGGGTCATTTTGCTAAGGTGTGTAACACTACGAGACGACGCGTTAACATGATACAAAATGAAGAGATGTCTACAGATCAAGAGTGTAATCTAATTGACGTAAATGGTGACAGCGAGCCGGAATATGGGGTCATGGCGATAGACGTTGTGCAGATTAACAATGTGGAACTTCTAAAGACAGCGGGAGGACAACCAAGGAGCCTCAGCATTCAGTTACGGTCCGGTAACTCTTTCTTCTATTCTACGGTGGACACTGGAAGTCCCGTATCTTTTTTAAACAAGAAAACGGCGGATATACTCATGAAGCGGATTCCCAACATTAAATTTAAGGACATCGCGAGACATCCTTTAGACGTTACTTATGTCGATTATAACAAGAAACCAATTAAACTGTTTGGTTCTCTGGAAATCCCTATTACATCGAAGGGATGGAAAATCAATAAGGCGTGTTTCTTGGTTTCCGAAAATCGTACTCGAAATTTACTCGGTTTGAACCTTCATGAGAAGTTAGGAATTGAAACGGTGCAACGCAGACCGGCAGAAGTTAGCGACGCGGAGGAAGACGAGGAATTGGACCCGACCTCAAAATTCTGGAGGGATTACTTTGTCAAAAGGTACCCTAAAGTATTCAGCAGACTGGGGAGGTCGAACCTAAAGTGTTCACAAATTTTAAAGACCCGTTGGTGCCCAGACAAGTTAAAGGCCGAAAAGTCCATAAACATTTGCAAGATCGGGTCACGGCTGAGATTAAAAAGTTAATTAAAGACAAGCACTTTGAAAAGTTAGAAAAGTGTACTACGGATCATTTCATCGCACCCATAGTCCTAACAGCAAAGAAAGACGGGTCTATAAAACTGGCGCTGAATGCTAAACCCATGAATGCCCAAATCTGGCAAAACAAAAATCAAATGCCTAATATGCATGAATTGATTGACTCGGCGGCTCAAATTATAACTAGAGACACACCTGGGGAGGTGTGGTTTACTTTTCTTGACCTTAAATACGCTTTCAGTCAATTACCTTTATCGGAACTAACCAGTAGTATTGTAACTTTAGTATTTTGTGCGGAGAGGCAACAGGCACATATCGATTCAAGACTGGTTTCTACGGACTGATGGACTTGCCTACGGAATTTCAGAAAGCGATGGACTGTACGTTGCAAGGATTGGAAGGTGTCATATGTTACCTCGATGATATACTGGTTGTCACTAAAGGAAGAGTTTAAGATCATAATGTGATAGTCGAAAGAGTCATGAGTTGATTGGATGAAGAAGGATGGGCGTTGAAACTTAGTAAATGTGAGTTTTCAGTTAATAAACTAGTCTGGTTAGGGTACGAAATCGATGAAAACGGTTACGCTCCGAAAATCTCAAAAATAGAGGCAATCAAATCCCTGTTGCCACCCAAAACTCTTAAACAGTTAAGATCGTTCATGGGTACACTCAATCATCTTCAACGTTTCATCCCGGATTTGCACAAGTACAGTCGCATTTAGAGCTTCGCTAAAGGCGGAGAATAAGAAATCCTTTCTGTGGAGGGACGAGCAAACTATTGCGTTTCAAAAGATCTCAAACCTCATCGCAAACATCCCTAATTTGTTTCACTACGATGCTTCAAAAGCTTCGCGAGTTAAATGTGATGCCAGTCATAGCGGGCTGGGGGCCCGTTTGGAACAAGAAGTAGAGTCAAATGTTGGGGCCCCGATTGCGTTTGCCTCTAGGTTCCTAAACTCCGCGGAAATCAAGTATAGTACCAATGAGTTAGAGCTTCTGGCTATTGTATGGTCGTGCGAACATTTCCGTACATATATACTTGGTAAACGATTTGTTATTCTAACCGATCATAAGGCCATCATTTCCGCCCTCAATGAAACGTATGGTAAAAAATCTTATCAGTCACGACTCTCTCGCTGGGCGGACCACCTCATTCCGTTCGATTATCAAATCGAACATATACCCGGTTCCTCCCTAGGCATCGTCGATTATTTGTCTAGATACCCGACTTTTGAAGCACCGTTGCCATCATCGCATGACGAATTATTTGTCATTAAATCTATTCAAGCTTTTCACAATGCTTTAAATTTGATTAGTACTCAGTCTAAACCTCATATAGTGCCGGTGGGGCAAATTTCAAAGTATAACGAGTTTCGACCAATCAGATCGCTTGGTGAAATTGGAGGCAACCTTAGCTACCTCTTAACTTATACAACAGACCAATCAACTTTCGATTCATCTGACCAATCACACTGTTGCAAACAATTCAGTTCGTCGCCTCTAGAGGCCGTCGCGAACAGTACTCAATCTGTTAACCAATCTCAAAAGGATATGCTAATTAATCGTCGTAACTCCTCGCCACTAGAGGGCGTCAGTTCATGCTCTCAGTCAACCAGCCAATCATATGCTCGTATGCAAAAACGTGAGTATATAACATCGTCGCGAGAGGTCGACGTTTCATGCTCTGGTACTCTCGACCAATCACAGCACAGTATGCAAATGAGATACGCTAAACCAAATGTTTTTGCTCAAACTCATTGTCTCCGACCTTACAACTTAGAAATCAGTTACGATATGGATACTTCAAATAATCTCGCTCAAAATACTACTCTTAACTCTACTCTAAATAACTCTAAAACTTCTACTAATACTGTTGCCTTTGCAAATAATACGATCGAACAAACAAAACTCCTCAATTTTGTCGAAAACTTTTCTACAAGTTCCCCTAATTTTCGCACCTCCAGTCAACTAAGACCCAAGCTATCTATAGTTCGCCCTATGGATCGCCCGAGCCGTATTGATCAAATACGTACCCGAAACATTGCCAGACAGAGACATTCTCGAGAACTTTTCGTGGTCACTCGAGGACAGAATACGCAAGAGGCCCTCACTCATTTCCTCGATAAGTGCCGGAGGCAGCGGCTGACGAGACGGGCCAGAAGAGGAGAGATACTTCGAATGGGGGTTAATGCCATCAACAACCACAAACCGCTGGTCACTCGGGACAAGAAGAAGGTGGTCGGATTGCCGGGACTATTTGATGTGGATCTGCTGGGAGAGCTGACAGGGGAAGACCCGTTCCTCGGACCGATGAGGACTGCAATCATTAATTAGGATGTACAATCCTTTAACAAACTGGGGACATCCATGGCCCAATTCTGGACAAACGCGGCGGTAGTAAACAACTGTGTCCTGATAGACAATAAACTAGCCATACCCGAACAGTTACGAAGTGCTATTCTGATTCGCCTCCATCGCTCGCACCCAGGCCAGGCGGCCCTGATGGACGCTTCGGCGTATATTTGGTGGCCATTTCTCAATCGCCAGATCGTTAATGTCTGCAAAAAATGCCCGGAGTGTACTTTATTTGGTAAGAACATCAAAACTTCCGCGACTTATAACTCAGCTAAGCCGTTACCTACGTTGTCAGCTCCAAATCAAGAATTGCAATTTGATTTCGCGGGTCCGTTAATAGATGATAAGAAGGGGAAAATCTACATTTTAGTCGCAATAGATCGTTTTTCTAAGTTCCCTTCGGTGATGTTGATTAAATCGACCAGTGCGAAAAAAATAGTCAAATTTTTGCAATCATATATTCGTAATCATGGTATATAAGAAAGCATTAGAACAGATCACGGATCTGGGTTTCACTCAGACGTCGTTAAAGAATTTTGCAAAATGAGAGGCATTAAACACATCCTCACAGTGGTGGGGGATCATCGGAATTGTGGGCTGGTAGAGAGATCGATCCAGACAATAAAACGGAAGTTAGGAACAGAAAAAATAGATCCTAATTTAAATAATCTGTAATCAATTTTACAACAAATCGTCGATGATATTCGGAAAACTAAGCATTCTACGCTAAAAGTATCTCCTTTTGAGTTACACTTTGGGAGGAAGCCCAACACTGAGTTTTCATTAGCACGTGATAATGTTATTCATTCTCCTACTTCAGCGCAAGGACTGGAAAGGAACCTCCTGACTCCGGAGCAGCGTTCAAGCCAGGATTTTAGCCGTGATAGGGCTAAAGTTGTACCCAGAGGAACGTCACACAGCCCAGAAATCCCCTATAAATTCAAGCCACTCTTTGGTGTGGGCGAGCGTATAGCGGATAGTCAACCATATAAAGCCTTGGAGAACCTTGCGAAGGCAGCTAACACCTGGAAGCAGTGGAAACGGAATGTGCCCCCACAGCAAGGACAAGATCTTCTCCGTGAATTGGCGGCTCGTAATAGCGACCTCGCAAACTCGCTCAAGACAGGGATCACAAAGGGAACCCTACGCTTCTACGACAACGCTCGCGATACGTCAGCTCCAGCACTCTCGCATTCACAGAGAATGAACGTGTCGTCCTCCTCGAGGCCTAAAATACTCTCAAAAACACGTAATTTAGAAAAATTAGTTTTACAAGATCCTCTAAGAGTCAAAAAATTTCGGAAAGTCCTTGATCGAAATTCGGGAAAGCCTCTGTTTAAACTAGCAAAAATCAAGATTACTCGCGTTACGGATCATACTTACATTACCGACAAAGGGAAAGTTTATCGGAAAAATCACCGAAGCCTAAGACATAATTTTAATCACCCTAAGATTTCAGCTACGCCTTGCACAGTGGGAGAACGTTTGCAGCAACGAATTGCTCCTCGGCCCCAATCTCAACCAGCTACTATTTCAGCTACAAGGCATTCAAATGAACCTTCAAAGGGCAAGGTGATTGACTTGACAGCAGAGTCGTCGAGCGAGGACTCATTGATCACTGGCCCCCAGCTCGAATTGGTGGAGGCACCGGTTGCAACGCCTCAAGGATTGGCTCCTGTGATCGCTACTTCAAACACTCCGATTTTCAATCCTCCAACTAATCCCGCCTTGACATCTCCTACAGGGGCGGTAGCACCACCCCAGGATCAGCCACAAAGTTCTGACACGGTCCCTCAGACTGCGGCAGAGGATTCAGCAAATACTGGCCATATGGAGGTTGACAATCCTACCTCTCAATCTTCGAGCGAGTTTAACAGATCATCTAATCGGTCTAAGAAACCAACGAGGTTTTATGGAGATCCTCTTCGCCATTCAGTTAAGAGTGTAACAGAATCTGACCCTGCGGAGCCTTCGTCACAACGACCGAACACTGATCAAATTACTACGCCACTCACCGATCAAATTACTACGCCATTCACCCCAATTGTTCGGAAAGTGCCGTTTCCCAGAACTAAGGAGCAAACTACTCCGTTTAAGAAAACAAGAACCGAAGAGCATGATAAACTTTAAAACTTTGTAAACTCTGCCATACTAGCCTATTGCTTAGGTTATCACTAACCCATTACGGTGCTTATTTTCCTTCTCATTTTCCTGCCTGATTCATTCCGAAATTTATACTAAGATAAATTTTTTCTAGAGGGTGAAGTGTCATGAGGCGACCTTCGGTACCTCATTATATTCTATTTACTTATGTATTGTCTTATCTAACTATGTCTTAATTATCTACTTATAGTGCAGTAAATTGATTCAAGGACAAACCTCACCAGCTAAATCGTTTGTCACTTGAGAATCGGAAGCGGTCATTTGCGAAAAGCCTTAAGTGTGAAATCTAGTCATAAAACATTATACATTAAAACAATACATTCAATTCTGGATTCGTTAATCATTTATTCGTTACTCTATTCTATCTATATATATATCATATCGAATTCAATATCCGAATTTTATAACATCTTTTTCCCTACTCAAACTGAGGGAAATCTCAAAGCCCAAACTGAACAAAATCTGACCAACTTGAACAAGCTTTTATCTAAACTTGAATTTCTGGACGACCCAATGAGAGATAGACTATTTTCTCTTGAATAAATCTGTATGGCCAATTTTTTTTGTTGCAAAAAGGTTTTAAAAAGGCTTCAAATGGGTTGCAAGGTTGCAAAAAGTGGGAACAAACAACACTATTAAAAAAACTTCGCTTCAGATAAATTAATGGGCAGGTAAATGTTATTGACAAAGTCGAGAGATTTGTTTTCTATAATTATTTTAAAATTATTTCCGTTTTACAGTTTTTGAAGCATTTTGTGTTGCCTTTAGGTGTATGTTTGCTGGCGGCAGCTGAGACATATGCGATGCAGTCTTTCTTCTTGACCATGACTATTCTGATGGTGTTGAGTTTCTTCTACGGGGTGGTGGCTCTCCCTGTTATCTTCTCCATCCTCGGATCCAGATGGGACCCCATCAACTGGGCCTCCGAAGATCGGACATTCTCATGGAGGTCACTTTTTACCCGTATAATCTACATATACATATATCATATATAAAGGATATATAGATCATATAGTGTGAAGCTATTTTGACATTACATTTTAAATATTCCGCATTTTCATTCCTATTTTTGCTTTATAATTTCTGCGTTATAAAAAACATTACGATATTGTGTGAAATCAAAAAAGATCTACTATCTAAATAACAGGCAAACAATATTTTTAGATTGAAAACCAGGAATGTTTTTTTTTGCCTGTTCTTCAAATATTAGATCATTTTTGGTTTCACGCAATATCGCAATGTTTTTGTAACGCAATTTCAATATTTTTTGATATTACGCCATTTCAAGATCATGCATTTGTCTTGGATTTATAGGACAATTTTCAAGACTCAGCTCTACCCTGCGAAGAGATTTTCACACGACAACAAACAGAATGCAGTGTTGTTCGGACGCACTTCTTCTTCGTACGCTACGACACGCGACCACGTTAGTTCCGGAAAGAGTACCGAAACCTCCGAAAACCAGCGGAACTCCACGCCAACTGGATCCAAGAAAAGCAAAATTGCAAGTGGAAATAGTCAGCAGACATCTTCGGGACAGAAAAATTCACAACAAAGAAGTGTGAAACAGAGTGAAAACACTGAAATTATTGTGAAAAGTCCAGAATAAACTACTCCCTTATTAGTTGAAAAATAGTTGAAAAATCTCTCATACTTCTTGTTTTGGTATTCGATGATTCAGCAACCACTCAGTACAACAACGATTTGAAGTTATTGCGAGGCCAAATTGTTCCCTGGATGAAATCCAGAAACAGGCCTTAAATTATGTTCGGCAATTGGTTTTCCTTCGTTTATATCCTGTTTGAAGCACACCCTTTTCAATGCGCCAAGGAAAACATCAGGTGCATGTAAGGGCGTTAATGAAAAAGTAGGCATTTTCTGGGTTGAAAAAATTGTTTTAATTCGACCATCTTTAGTTCGACCATCTCTGGGCGGGTCGGAAACATGTCATAGTTTGATTATTCAGGTCGAATCATGATCCGAGCTCCTCAGCCCTGTTTGCCCAAAAAATATTTTAGATTCAAAATATGAAATCAAGTTTTATTGTTAAAAAATTGATATCCGTTTTTTATATCAAATTAAGACTGCTCGTATTAGGACACACAGACTGCCCTGTAAACTGTCTGAAGTATTTTTTGTTGCAAAAGAATTCTTGAATTATTCAAAAAATGATGCAAACTTTTTAAAATTTTGTTGTGGAACCCACCTGCGCAATATCGTGAGCTCAGAGACAAATATATTTTTTTCGATAATACAAGATTTGAACTAATTATCGTAACTAAATTCAGTTGGTAATGGTTTCCGAGGCGGATTAGGTCGCCGCGTAAAATATACATGTTTATAGAAATATAATGTAACTCAATAAATTAAATTGTCAACTAAATTTTAATGAACCAAGTGAAAACATTGGTTACATTGGTTTTTTTTTTCAGGAAAAATTTTTATAAACTGTTATAAACTCCAATTTGATTTCTTGTGTTTTGAATTTTAATTTTACTTCAAACTGTTTTTAAAAAAATAGGCTCTTCGATGAAACTGGTAACGAACCAAAAAATCATGATTGAATTGTTTGGTAGTAAAACTCGAAAAAAGTTCAAAAAATCCAAAAATGCATGATGTCAAATTTTTATCGGAGAAGCAAAGCGCACAAAATTAGTACCTTCTATTGCTTTTTCAAACACCCAAGCAAAATTAATCAATTTTCTTTGCCTTTTAATAAATTATAATCATATTAACGGTAAATAAAATTTGAATAAACCTTAGAATAAAAACAAGGGGCGGATCTAGGATTTTTCGAGCGGTCGCGGATTTTCAGAAAAAGATCGAAAAATTTTTTCAACCTTTTTTTTGACCAAATTAATTTTCTGACCCAATTTTTAAAAAGCAGGCGAAAATTTTTTAGGCAGTTTTGAAAAATCAGTATACAATGGCGCCGAAAGCGCCTTAAGAAAAATATGAGGGCCAGTATCTAGACATAGTACAAAGGGGGAACCTTCGGGTCCGCAGGGGATCGAATCCCTTGAGGGAAAGCGGCATTCCCCAACCCTAAAACGCTGCTGTAACAAACCATTTATTTGGCAATCAGATCTAGCAAACGCAGAAACCATGTCCATTTTAAATGAATCATGGATAGACGGTCCAACTATACTTATTTCTGCAAACGATAACAACAAAAAAGTCAAATTCTTTTAAGTTGGTGTTTGTCAGTTTTGTAGGGGGAATCAGGGGAGAGAGGACGACTAGAAACAAGTACAAAACAATTTTTATTAAACTTTTAATTCTAGATTTACAACATTTCAGCAACTTTTACGAGTTTGGGGAGAGTAGAATGAAAACTAACATTTAACTGACCAGTCTCAAGTTGTCTAAAACACAAAAAGTGCAAATTGAATTTTAAAGACAGTAAAATACAAAAAAAAAATCAGTTTTGAAGAATAAAAAGGTATAGAGACTTAATTGAATCCAACTAACATTATTAGTGCTTCTTTACTTCGCGAGCGCAAGTAAGATGTTTTCCCCCAATTTCATTGTGCAAAGTGAGGGAAAAAATGAATTTTAATTGGACCAATAAAACTCTTCGTATCACGATGAGCTGTTAGAACTGTCGTTCTTCAAAGTCTTCGAAAAAGAATCTGGTAAAATTTTTCAAAAGGATGTTTTTGCATCTATATTAAATCATTATTTGGACCCATTTAAACATTTCAATTCAATTTTGAGCAATTTCTGAGCTGGAACAAACCATTTGTTAATCAAGGAGCAAAATCACACAGATCAATAAATCTCCTGCACTTTCTTTGATGAAACGGTCGATTGCTAGGGAAGCGGCAAAAAAGTTCCAATTACAGATGCATGGACAAAACACAAGGACAAGAGAAAATATTTTCCCTGTCAGCATTTGGATGTTTTTATTGAGGCGGAGAGTATTTACAATGAAATGCTTCCATCAAGCCAATACCAGCTGAAGAAACCCTTACAAAATCCGCACAATTATCCTCAGTTTCACTCTTCGCTACTGCGTCGTTAGCAGTGAATGAGTAGGAAAACTTAAAAGGTTCAGACCAATTTTTCTTAAAACTAAAGCGAAGTCACAATGGAAAATCTTCTGCTATTACACCACGCTTGAACACTTACGAGCTTTATTTCAGCTAACTAAAAAAGTTTTAGAGAAACGTGTGCAGCGCCTTGGTTCCTTCCAACTCCCCACTCAAAATTAATACGCACAAAAATATTTTGAATTTTATACAAGGCAAATAATGGATACCTTACTTGCGCTAATAAGCAGACAAACAAAACAATACAGAAATTAATCTCTCGATCTAAAGTCGCGCATAATTTGTAAGCCATAACGAAGATCAATTTATAGCAAATTGTTGTTCTCATGGCACCAAATGCTCAATTTTTGTCCCTTCAAAAGTAAAATCCCAGAAACTGGAAGCTGAGAGCTCATCAATCAGTCTCACACGGAAAAGATATAGGGAACTTTGTTACTAAAAAAGTGTTTTGAGAAATTTTTCTAAACTTTGGAGTTTTTCATAATCATAGATTTTATTCCTGGTAGCTGTTCAAGATAAACTTTAATTTGTGTCGTTTGCTTCTCGAGATATTAATGACTTGGTGCATCAAACATCAAAAAAAGCATTTTTTCAAAGACTACGATAAAAAAGACATGTTATGAAAACTCATTTGATTTCCGAGAAGATTCTATTTTTTTTGAACAGCATTAAAACAGTCTGAATAACCACAAACAGTTAATTTTTCATTTTAAGTTTCTTGTTAAATTGTTTTGAAATTTGCACTGTTCACATTGTTTTCAAGAAAGTGTAAACACTTATGAGTTTTTTGATTTTATTGCTCTACTGAAGCACTTTTTGATGCTGTTCTCATCTTTAGGTGGACACAATTCAGCAGCCTCTGATTAAAGTTTTTGCTAAGCACCTGCTAGTAACTAGCAGCAGCTAAAAAAACAGAAGTAGCAAAATAAGCTACACGTCAGAATCTTTGATATATTCCAATCACCAATGAAAATCAAAATTTCAGATCTGAAACTTAGATATTAAATAACTGTTTCAGATCTGAAATAACCAGAAAACAAAACTTCTTATCTCAAAGTGGGTCTGAAATAACCCATTCTTAATTTATCCAAGCGTTATTTTAATATTTCAAAACCCATTCTAGATCTGGAAAATGGATCTAAAAAATTTAGTTTCATATCTGAATTTAAGCAATTACTAAGTAGGGGATGCTACAAAATAAAAAAAAATATATATAAAAATGAAAATCAAAAAATAACCAAAAATTTCTCGGCCTCTAAGAGAAACCAATTCATTAAATCTTGAATAGACGGTCCAACTATACTAAATTCTGCAAACAAAAACAACAAAAATAGTCAACTTCTTTTAATTTGGAGTTTGTCAAATTTTAAGGGAATAAGGGGAAGAAGAACGACTAGCATAGAACAAATTACCAACTCATTTTTAAAATACAAAAAGACATTTGGAAAAATTTTAAAGGAAAACTAATTTTTCACTCTTCTTCTCAACTTGTTTAAAACACAAAAAGCGCATGTTGGTTTTTCTAGACAGTAAATAAAGTCAATTTGACGAATAACTAAGTATAGTGATTTAATAGTCTGCAACTGAGCCTTGTTTGTGGTACTTCATGTCGCGAGCGTTAAACACGCCCAAAAACAATGTTTTTCCCCCAATTTCGTTGTGTAAAAAAAAACAAAAAAACCGAGTGTTAATTAGACCAATGAAACTGCACGTATCAAGAGAAATTGCTAGAACTGCCGTTCAAAGTCTTCAAAATAAAACCTGGCAAACTTTCAAAAAATGTGAACTTGTTAAAATTTCTCAACCATTTTCAATACACACGCACAAATTTATTACGAAATGATGTTTTCGCGTCTATCTTTACCCATTGTTTGCTAATTTTAATTCAATTTTGAGCAAGTTGTGAGCTGAAACAAACCACTTGTTAATCAAGGAGCAAAATCACACTAAATTTTAAATCTTCTTCACTTTCTTTAACGAGTAGCTTGATTGACAGGGAAGGGCATAAAATGTTCTAACTTTTATGCATTGGCAAAAAAACTGGACAAGGAAAAACGTTTTCTCTCAGAATTTAGCTGTTGTTTTTGAGGCGCAGAAAACTTAAGCAGCAATGCTTCCATCACAGCAATCCCATCTGAAGATACCTTTATAAAATCCGAACAAATTTTTCCATTTCAATCTTCTCTTTTTCCCCATTAGCGGTGAATGAGTTGAAAAACCTAAACACCTCAGACCACTGTTTCTTGAAAATGACGCAAAATCACGACGGAAAATCTAATGTTTTTATACCACACTTGAACACCTACCAGCTTTTTTCTGGTAACTAAAAGTTTTCTAGAAAAACCCGCGCAGCGCAATGAATCTTTCTCACTATTAAAGATTGTTACGTACCAAAAATGATTGTTTGTGTACAGACCAAATAGTGGATTCCTTAGCTGCGTTAGTAAGTTGACACAAAAATTTCACAAAAGCTTTCAAAATTTTTTAGAACACCTATCAAACTTTTGATTTTATTGCGCTACTGAAGCTTTTATCGATAATGTTCTCATGTGTAGGCAAACGCATTTCATTAGTCTGCGATGAAAAATATTTTGCTAAGTA